ATAGGGAGATTGAAGAAATCGAGCGGAAATTGAAACACTCATATGAAACTGAAGAAAGGCAGTTAGAACAGAAAGCAATTCAGGAAATAAAGAAAAATCCAAAATATTTCTTCTCATATGCGAAATCAAAAGCAAAAACCACTGCCAGTATTGGACCTATTCGTACAAGTGAAGGTTCATACACGAAGGATGACAAAGAAATTAGTGAAATCCTAAAAAAGCAGTATGAGGACATGGTTAGCACTCCAATAAACAACATGAAGGTGGAAGATCCAGATAATTTCTTTATGCGGGATATTCAAACCCCTGTAAATATAACTGATATAAACACGAGCGCACTAAATTTTGAAAAAGAAATTGAAAGCATGCCCATGCACTCGGCCCCAGGTCCAGACTCATGGAATTCAATATTTATAAAGAAATGCAAAGTGCCGGTAGCACAGGCACTCAGTATAGTGTGGAGGAAGAGCTTGGACACGGGGGAGATACCAGATGCACTTAAAGTAGCAGACATAGCCCCTCTACACAAGGGAGGGAGCAAAGCATTGGCAAAAAATTATAGACCAGTTGCACTAACATCGCACATCATAAAAGTATTTGAGAGAGTGATTAGGAGTCAGGTCACCAATTTCATGGAGACCAATGACCTTCATAACCCAGGCCAACATGGATTTCGAGCGGGAAGATCGTGCCTCTCACAGCTACTTGAGCACTACGACAAAGTCACTGAGGCATTAGAAGAGAAACAGAATGCCGATGTGATATACACGGACTTCGCAAAGGCTTTCGATAAATGTGACCATGGCGTGATAGCACACAAAATGAAGTCAATGGGAATAACCGGTAAAGTAGGACGCTGGATACTCAGTTTTCTGTCAAACAGGACTCAGCGAGTAACTGTCAACCATATAAAATCTAGTCCAAGTGCAGTGAAAAGCTCTGTACCTCAGGGTACAGTCCTTGCACCACTGCTTTTCCTTATTCTCATATCAGATATAGACAAAAATACAAGTCACAGCTTCGTATCATCCTTTGCAGATGACACAAAAATCAGTATGAAAATTACCTCGGCTGAGGACATTGAAAAACTTCAAGCTGATATTAATAAAGTTTTCGACTGGGCATCAGAAAATAACATGATGTTTAACAGTGATAAATTCCAGGTACTCAGGTACGGTAAAAATGAGGACCTTAAACATAATACAGAGTACAAAACACAATCAAATGTACCCATAGTAGGAAAACAGCATGTAAAGGATTTGGGAATAATAATGTCTGACGACCTAACGTTTGAGGAACATAACCAAGCAAATATTGCGACAGCCAGAAAAATGATAGGATGGATTACGAGAACTTTCAAATCCAGGGATCCCATCACAATGGTTGTACTCTTCAAGGCACTTGTGTTGTCCCGTCTTGAGTACTGCTCAGTACTCACTTCCCCCTTCAAAGCAGGAGAGATTGCTGAAATAGAGGGAATACAGAGAACATATACGGCACGCATAGACGCAATAAAGCACCTAAATTATTGGGATCGTCTCAAAGCCCTCCAAATGTACTCACTAGAAAGAAGACGAGAGAGATATCAAATAATATACACCTGGAAGATACTGGAGGGCCAAGTACCAAATCTACACAGTAAAATAACAACATACTGGAGCGAACGACAAGGAAGAAAATGTAGAATAGAACCAATGAAGAGCAGAGGTGCCATAGGCACAATCAGAGAATACTGTATAAACATCAGAGGTCCGCGGTTGTTCAACGTCCTCCCAGCAAGCATAAGAAATATTGCCGGAACAACCGTGGGCATTTTCAAGAGGAAACTAGATTTATTCCTCCAAGGAGTGCCGGACCAACCGGGCTGTGGTGGGTATGTGGGCCTGCGGGCCGCTCCAAGCAACAGCCTGGTGGACCAAACTCTCACAAGTCGAGCCTGGCCTCGGGCCGGGCTTGGGGAGTAGAAGAACTCCCAGAACCCCATCAACCAGGTAACCAGGTATACATTTGCAAAGATTAATATGTAGCTTTTTTGAAAAAAACAATTAATATGTTGTAATACTATAATAAAATTGGTAAATTGACTTTTAATGAAGCTGAAGATTACGAAGCTGTGAAGATTACGTCATCCTCTGCAGCGCTTGTTTTATATTGTTCAGTACTGTATACAGGGTACACACAGTATGTACACTTATTTTCAGGCATTCACTTCACACAACAGCTAGCCTTACTACTAATTCACATGAGTTTTAATTCTAATTCACAATTGAAAATTATTTCTACTGTATATTTACACTGTACAGTATCTTTTAGTCAAGGCTTAAATAATCATTAACACTTACAATATTGTACTCTATCAACACGTTTTACACTAATTTATATGCCTTTCAATCATATTTTATATCGTTAGTGGAGGCTACACGACTTTTGATGGGAATTCAGCATCAGCGGGTGCAACATGGCTTGCAGAGCATTCATTGCCGGCGGAGGCTGCACAACTTGTTGATGGGAATTCAATATCGGCAGGTGCAGCATAGCTTGCAGAGCATTCGTTGCCAGCGTAGGCTGCACAACTTGTCGATGGGAATTCAGCATTGGCGGGTGCAGCATGGCTTGTAGGGCACTCGTTGCCGGAGGAGGCTGCACGACTTGTCGATGGGAATTCAGCATTGGCGGGTGCAGCATAGCTTGCAGAGCATTCGTTGCCGGAGGAGGCTGCACGACTTGTTGATGGGAATTCAGCATCGGCGGGTGCAGCATGGCTTGTAGGGCACTCGTTGCCAGCGGATGCTGCATGACTTGTTGAATTCCCAGTGGATGCTTCTTAACACTTTAAGCGGATCAGGACATAACCTGGAGTCCTGTTTGCCTAACCGCTTCCGCAATGTGGACATAAAATGATGTCCTCAAAAAAATATTTGTATAAAATTCAATTTTAATCCGATTTACTTTGGGTTTGTTTCAAACTGCGCGCCATGAGGCTCTCTTTCTCACCACTAGGCTGCATGGTACAATAAGTTCATGAAAGGTGTGGACCACTTCGATCAAATGGTATTACCATTTTACCAGGAAAACTCACAAGTGGACCAAAAAGATAACGTTTATTTCCTGCAAATGGCATTGCATAATGCCTTTGTTTTGTACAAATACAACACAACTGATCAAAAAAAGCTAACATTGCTACAGTTCCACGAGGTGGCAATTTGGGCCCTATTGCACTGGGACCCGGAAGATTGGCCTCAAACAACAACAGTATGTCAACACTTGCGGCACGCTCCAGACATAAATGATGACACAGGTCCTGCCTATGCTGACGCCATGCAAACTCCCGGACCACCTGGTGTGAGGCGGCCTTTGTTGACTTCAACACCTCAAGCTGAAGCAGTAACCGAATCAGAACCCGAGATGTCTGGCACACTGCCATTTGACGAGACGGTTTTGTCAGATGACTCTGACTCTGACTCAAATCTTGAACCTCCAGCGATTCAGTTGATTCTGAAAATCGCATGAACTACAAACTGAAACGAGTATTTTGATACCAGAATGAACACTGTATCACATAAACTGCCGTAAGTAGACTCGAACCTTCATAGATTTTTTTTGAGTGTACCGTGTGTCTGCATGAGTGTCCCAAACGGGTTGCAGGTGGGTGACTTTAGTCGTTTATACTGTACTGGTAATGCTTCCCCCCATATCATGTATTATATGCATATGTCTGTTTAGGGAATTTTATTCCGATCAATGTACAACCAAAAATAACTGTGTGCAACAAGTATAAACTTGACAAACATAACAGCAGTAAAAACATTTCGTGTGTGTTTGACGCTCACTGATATGTTCCAGCGTTGTTTTATATTTGGCGCTATTCTATCTTACGCTTTATTGATCTTTTTTACCTACGGGCTCATAGAACATTCTATTGCGAACACATTGGCACAAAAATGAATGACGTACATAGAATAATAATGTCAGGACAGTGAAATAAGTATAAACTTTCAAAGCGCCGTATCGCACATGTGTCGTCTCGTCACCGATACCGGGTAACAGTTCCGCCACTTCCCACACTCTTGTGGGGTGGGCCGCGACCATTATTCTACGTTTATATTCATATCACCGTGTTGGGAATTTCATTGCGAGTCCATTGATACCAAAATTAACGCTGTAGGACAAGTGTGGAGGTGATAACAATCCCAAGAGTAAAAACATTTTGTTGCTGTTGGGCGCTCACGGCGAGTCATCTATGTAGGTTTTTATTTGGTGCTGGTATTCCTATAATTTTCATGACCTTTTTTACTGATGTTCTTCTAGAGAATTTTATTGTGAGCACGTTGGTACCAAAATGAAATACGTAGCTCGAGAACTAAGGTCAGGAGAGTAAAAAGAGTATTCACATTTTTGTTTTGACACTTAAGCGACAAAAATGCCGCGCGCACATACCGCTTTTTTTTTTTAACCTTAGCCGGGCAGGCGAAAGTGTTAATACCAATTGTTTTAAAATATTTTATTAATAATAATTTAGAATTTTCTTCATAAAACTTAATCATTATAAAAGAAAGTTAAGATTTAATATACCACTCTGGATGATCGAGGTCGGTGGCCTGGTCGCCATGTGAGGGGCTGCAGATGCCAAAACAAACCCAATACCGACCGTCGGTAATATCAACCACCAGACCGGTATACGAGGCTCCAGATACCGATCTCCCAAACCAGTCGTTATTACCGGCAGATCGGTATAAAAGAGGCCGTTAAATTGAGTGGATACTGTGCATCCGTATTAGCCGGATAGCCCTGGGGAGCCGAAGGGGCTCCCTCCAGAAAATTTGTAGTATTCAGTATAACAGAAACAAAAAAATTCAGAGATTTTACATCAGGAAACATACATGTAATTCAGAAAATAAAAGTTTCCAGAATTCATACACAGCATTTGTGAAAGTGCTTCTCTGGTACATAATGATGTTGACCTGGCTAAGTGGCTCTGCAAACTCTACACACATACCGACCTTCCTTCACTGTCAGCATATGGTGCTGGGTGAGAGCATGAATTGCTTCATAGCACAGAGGATCTGCTTGGATAGCAGCGCGGAAACTCTCGGCAGCCAATGCACGATTGTCGCTTGCCTCGTATATGTATCCTTTAAGCAAGTGTGTTGAGCAGTCAATCTGTGTCAAATACCAATAAAAAACGGTTTTAATGCCAAATAAATAATCTATTTAAAAAATATGAGAAAATATTTGCATTTATTTCTCTCCAAACAGAGCATCTGGCCTATCACACCTGAGAAGGGAAGTGTACTTACACAGAGAGAAAAAAAAAAAAAAAAAAAAAAAAAAAACCAGCGTTGTATGTAATGAAACGCCATTTTCTGGGTGAGACCCGGAGGCTCCCCGGAACTTTACCGGCTGATATGCTAATGTCAGACTTTGGCATCAGTCATGTGTATGGAGTTCTAGAGCCTACCGGGGACCACGAGCCAGAACCTGGCCCCCTCAGAGAGGCAAGGGGAGCAATGGCCTATAGAAACCCCCGTGTGGTTGGAAGCATTCTATGTCTGCCATCGACCGGGTCAAGCATCCAGAAAGGTAAGCATTCCAAAACAAACCCCTATTCTGGTGAAAATTGCTACCTAAGCCGAACTAGTGGATAGAACTCTTCAACAGAAAACAAGGAAACTAGTATGACGTCATACGTCACCGCACCGCTGTCTGCGCAGCTCCCCCCTCCCCGGGAGGGGGAAGGGGGAGCCCCAGACCTCCCACGCCGGCTATCCACCCATCAGTTCTGAGGCTGGATGTCAAAACACGCGAAAAACGCCGACCGGAGGGAGGGAGGGTTGCCGGGGAGCCTCCGGGTCTCACCCAGAAAATGGCGTTTCATTACATTCAACGCTGGTTTTCTGGGGGGAGCCCCGTCGGCTCCCCGGAGCTAACTACCCACAGAGGAAGGTCAAAGGGACAAAACCGAGAGGCGGACACCACGCACCCCCCAAGGAGGCGAGACAACCGGCAGCAAACGCCAACCCAAGGCGCCACAGCCCCGAAAATCCCGGGAACAACACGAGAACCACGAGCAGCAAGGCCCCTGCACGAACACCAAAAATCCAAGCCCGAAAGACTGCAAGGCCACGTCGCCCAGACGGCAGCGAGAGCAGCGAAGCCACGAACGCCACAGGCATGAGGGAAGAACACAGGCAGCGTAACCGCAAGAACATGGCTGACCACCCGGGACACCATCACCCGCGAACCGGGAAGAACAGAACCGGATCAACGCAAAACGCTCCGGACCCAAACGCTGTGGCACGCAAACAACAGCGGAGGGCCGCCACTGAACACAAAAACGACACACCCCCGGCCCGACCAACGAAGCACCAACAAACCCTGGACCCCTCCAGAATGCAGCAGCCCCACCCCGCGCCAGAAAAGATGGAGACTGCTGCCATCAAACAACCAAAACGCTAAAACCGAAGGAGCAAGAAAACTCAGCGAACCGACCCCCAGAGGCAAAGGCCTAAAGGAAAGAGCCGACGAAAAAACACACCGGAACCGAAGGGGCACTACCAACCAAGGTGAAGACAGCACGCTGACCAGAGACCAGGATGGTGCAAGCGGCGCATGAACAGGCCGGAGGTGAAACGACGCACAAGACAGCTGACTAACGGTGCAGAAGCAACACCAAGACCGAAAGCAAGCTGAAGCGGCTCCGCCTGCGCCGCACGAAAAGAGGCAACAGTATGTGGCAAGACGACGGCCCCCAACCCCCACTAGAAAACCAAGCCGAGAGTAAACCAAGCCAACAAGAGTAACCACCTAAGAAGGGACAGGAAAAGGAAGGACCGCCAAAATACCCATACTGCCGCCAAGAGAAGCACGCAGGTGGGACACCTACCACGAAGCCACCCGACCACCAACCGGAGGCGAGACCACACGGCAGAACATAAGCAGCCCCGACAAGGCTCCCCCGAGCCCAGGAAAAAGGCGGAGCCGCGAGAAGATCTCGGGCGCGACCACCGAAACCCAGGCGGCACAAGGAGATGGAACGTCTGCCGAACAGAAAAACTCCCCAAAGCACGCAAGCCCGCCAGGAGTTCAGAAACGACGGGTCCGACGCGAGACATCGCAAGAACCCCCCCCAAAAAAAAAAAAAAAACAACCGGCAGGGCAAGCTAGGAAAACCAAAGAAGGCGGAAGGGTCGCCGCCAGAACAGGACCCGAACCAAGGGGCACGAACAACTGCAATAGACCGAGACAAAGAAGCACATCACAGGACACAGGCTGACCAACGCCTAAGAACACACGCAGAACATCCCTGCTGCAGAGGAGGCAGGAAGAAAGAGCAGAAGCACAAAAAACCCCAGAACAACCAGGGGTGGACAATCAGGCAGGGACAAAAACCGCACGCAATCCCCAGGCACAAAACGGCAGCAAAGTGTCACTCCACAACCGGACACAGGAACAAGGACACGCCACCGTGAAACACGGTACCAATGCACACGTGCAGCAGCAGCAGCAGCAGCAACAGGCACCACTGCAACATGCAACATGTAAATAGCAACTCCCCTCTGCAAAGGCAGAGAACGGAGTAGGCAGACCCCAGACAGGGCCAACGGAGACACGACAAAAACCTTGCAGGCCCAGAAACCTGCACCAGGCGACCGACGGCGGAGAAACCCCGCTCGATACCTGCTGGATGAGGTACTGGGAGCTCTTTTACAACTGAAGCCCGGCCCAAGGTCAGGCCAGACCGGCCAGAGGATGGCCCGCCAGGTAGCTGCTAGGAGCAGTCCACCGGCCCACATACCCCCACAACCAGGACGGGCCGGAACTGCCATACGAAAACAGGCCAGTGCGCCCTGGAAGTCCACGGACGAACCAGCAAGAAGGCTTATGCTCGCAAGTAGGTCGTGTAACAAGCACAGACCACTGATGGTAATACAGTGTTCCCCAAAAGTGCCAATAGCACCACTGCACTCCACTGGTACTATCCCGCAAGTTCTACCAGATAGGCGGGACCCAAGAGCCAGAGCTCAAATCCTGCAAGCACAGCCAGGAGCCTCACCAGGTGAGTACAGAACCAACCCTACAACCCCCACACCTCACAACATTAAAAAGGAGGGTCCCCTGAATGACTCCAGCATGGGTTGGACATGCACATGAGGGGGACAGGAAGGGGTGATAAAGGGACAGTCACTGGTGTGCGAACGGTCTCAGTCGTACAAAATATACCTAAATAAAGACAGGTATATAAACACCGCCGCATCCAGCGCCCGGCCAAAAGACGCCAGACTGCAGAAACTCATTCAGACTGCATTGTTTTTACGCAAGCATTCTGTGCTTGAGAGCACTTATCCCCAAACCAGACCATGGAGAACCCAACCATCATCCTCAAGTACACAATCAACCCGTAGTAATTAACAGTAAAGAGACAATGAGCACAAATGTGGATGGCACAACAAAAGTTCAGAGGTGTCCAAAAAGAGGGTGTATAAGATGTAGTCACAAATCATTGCAATTACAGAAGTGACTCATACAAATTATAGGAAGTGCAGTCTTTCCAAATAAATTACAGATTTGAGGAAATACCTGCGGCAGAGGTGGCTAATCCACATGACTACATCATATGTAAGGTAACAGAGAACAAGAGAATAGAGGTACATACTGATCATATACACTCAACAAACTAACTGCAGGAGGCCCTTGGAGGAGAATGATGGGAGCTATGAAAATAATCTACAAGTCATAGAGAGCAGTAATGGTGGCAAGTAGATCCAGGACTCGGACATAGTTTTTTAATCACACTAACAATGACTAAAAATAACAAGTGGAGCCCCATTGATAGGATGATATTCAAGGTAAAATTAGTACACACTGTGGACACCACAGGATCAGTGTGACGCAGATTATTTAAATTAATCGGTACTGCTGGGCATCAAATTTTATTAAACTCTTGACAAAGTAACGTAATTGAAAAATAAATATTGCAACATCATTTTTTTTAGCAGTGTCTTGTATTTTGGTACAGTATTAAATTGATTTTAATAAACGTGCTAAAACTCCAGTGTTGAACATAATGAAACGCCTCTCTCTCTGGATCAGCCCCGGTGGCTCCCTGAAGCTATCTCACTGAGAAATCCAAGATTGACCATGTAATAGATCAATTATACAATGTATATATATGATGTAACTATATAACCTGAGCTTGTAAAAGCACCTTCATCACCTTCAGTGATTAAGTGCTTAATTGCACACTAGTTTCTTTATCAGCTATCTCACCCTGTCAGAGTAAATGAGACAAATGTATGTGAATGCATGTGTGTGTATATATGTATGTATATGTGTGTGTATGTATATGTATGGGTATAAAGTATATATGGAAGCTGATCAGAATTACATTTCACCTTTGTGAATGTACATTAATGACACTATGTAAAAGACACATCAAACACTTTATGTAGGGCATACGTAAATCTGTGTATCTATGTATTTACGTATGTAGGTTAGCTTAGCATTTTAAAAGCACCGAATCACCTTCTGTGGTTGAGTGTTCAATAAACCCTTGAACTATATGTTTAACACATCTCTAACCCTGTCCATGGAGGACAGAAGAAAATGTATATATGCTGGTTAGCATTGTAAATGTGTGGCCACGTCTGTGGTAGAAAATAATAATAAAAAAAAAAAAAAAGAGTCAGGGAGCCACCACGGCTCATCAGGAGTGTTTCATTACATTCAAGCTTTGGGTTCTGGGAGAGCCGCCAGTATCTCCCAGACACTAACTACATAATCAGAGAGGACAAAAACGAGACTTCTTGAGGTTATCTTGAACTTACAAGGAAGGAGAAGTGGCATGCACTAGGATGAAGAAGATAATCCAGGCTGGGAGACACAGCCAAAGGTAACACATGACCAACTGGGACCAGGAACATTAACCAAATACCAGGCTGCCAGAACCCTGTTAGACACCATACCCCCAAGCCAAGGCCATGCTGTAGAAGATTGTGGCCAAATGCAGCATATTTCCCAACATCATGGGCATAAGGGTAGACCGCTAGCTGGCTAGATTTAATAACACTGTACATGACCCGAGAAATGCAAGCCATGGAACAGGCAACCAAGGAGACAGCATCAACCCACAAACCATCCATAAAGGCAGAATTGGTAGCATGAAGGTAATGTACTTACTTGACAGTCTGATCACACACCGCAATCACACACTTGCTGTTCTTCGCTGTGTTGATGAATGAGACCCACTTCTAGATGAATTGTGTCTACTATCGCAGGAGTCAACCACAGGTGATTGCATTTCTACAGTTAGTAACTGTACCATGGATGGAGGGCATAATTCGGGGCTCATGGGGTCTATGTCATTACTGTTATTTATGTATCATTGCAAACCTACCACCAGGACCAAAAGAGCAAAAACCCCTGCGCCAGTGGAGAGCATGAAGCTTCCCCGGCCTGACCCCGAGGCCAATCAACAAGAAAAGAGCCTAGTCAAAACAATCCCAAACTGAAGGAACCACCACAAACCTAGGAGAAGAGAAAAAAAAGAGAGCACCTGGTCCAACGACCGGTCCAATGACTCAGGTGGCGAATGAGCAGGCCGGAAGTGAACAATGTATGAGATAGCTTGTGGAACAGAGCTAAGTGACATCAACAGTATGTCAAGCCAGCAAGCTTGACGGAGCCACAAGCAGGAGCAGCGCCAGCCAGCACCACACAATACTAGGCAACAGTTTTCGACATAAGATGACAGTCCTGAAACAACCAAGAGAGAAAGGACAAGACAACCTGATCCGAAACCGAAGACAATCTACGAAGAGACAAAAGTAACAAAAGAACCGCCAGGAGACTTCATACTGCCACTGAGACGAAACTCGCAGGTGGGACACTATCCAAGAAGAACCTGACCATCATACAAATGGTGATAATCCTGCATCAGAAAGACCAGATGTGAAGACCAGGAGGAGATCGAACTGGGCACATACTAGACTGGACCGATCTGCTGAAAGAGGTGGAGCCGCGGAAAAGTCCCCAAGTTCAGACACCGAGCAAGCAGCACCAGAAACCAAGGCTGGGCTAGCCAACAAGGGGCCAACAGGCCTACTCTCCCTTGTTAAGTCTCCAAACAAGCCAGGACCCAAAGCAACAGTGGAACCAGCGGGAAGAGGTCTAGATAACCCCACTTCGACCAGTCCTGCCGAAAGGCATCGACCCCAACGGCCTCGCAGTAGGGGAAGGGTGCCACATATACAGTGAGACACCTCAACTATGCCGACACGAAGAGGTCCACCTCTTTAATCCGATGTGAAGAGGTCCACACAGCAACCTTCAATCTCGCACGAGGAAAGCTGGAACTCGGAAGACACATCAAGAGGTCCACCGAGCCCCGACAGGGTTTTCCAGGGCTTAGGCTGACTGCTACGGGAAGCCCGGGCAAAGTTTTGCTAACCGGTTACACCCAAAGCTAACAAGGGGAAGATCAAAACACTGAAACCCCTGCGATGTTTACAATCATAGGGGCCTAGCGGAGATATCTAAAGTATCTAAAATATAATTAGTGGCCCTATAACTGCACCAGGCAGACCCCCACCAGGCAAACAAAACAAAAAGTAAAAGAAAAACCCACAAAAGTACAACGTCCCCAGAGGAAACAGGAACCGGCCGCTGCATAGCTGCGCAACTGGCTGCACAACACCTTGATGCCCCAACCAGCAACAATACCACTCCCTACCTAAAGCCAAACAAGGGTCACGAAACCCCAGCTTGCCCCAAGGGCAGGGTAAATAACGAGCAGCAAAGACCTCTACGGAAATGGTGTCCCGAACGCACCAAGGAAGATAACCCTGACATGCAAGGGGTAGTACTCACAGGGCACCAAGGGAAGGCTGCCCAAAGCGCATGCAGCCGCAGAACACTTCAGGTACACCTAGCCACCACACCACGAACAGCCGAGGACACCACAAAGGTAAAACCGAAGACGAAGCCAGAGTTGACGGGAGGGGGGGGGACCTTCACGGATGAGCGGCATGGTGTGACGTTTGCTTGTTTCCTTGGCAATTCAGGGAGTTCTGCCTCTCTGTTTGGTTTTTGGTTGCAATTTTCTTCCTATGTCTGTTTTGTTAAGCCTATCTTTCTGGGTGCCTAACCCCGGTCGATGGCAGATAAGGAAAACCAGCAACCACAGGGGGGGGGGGGGTTCAGGGCCATTGTTCCCTGTGCCTCTCTGAAGGGGCCAGGTTCTGGCTCGTGGTCTCCGGTAGGCTGAACTCCATAGACTAATGCCCTGGTCTAATGAATTGCATATTAGCATGATAGCTCCAGGGAGCCGAAGATGTTTCCCCATAGGAAAGGAGTATCAAAGTATTGGCTGAAATATGACCAATACAATACTGCAAAAACAGCTCAATACCACCAATACATTGTGTACCTCTAGTATACAATCCCATGCCAAGCAATTTCACCCTGGGGTCCGGATTAAGTGATAATCAGATAGTTTCAAAGTTGTTCGGTGATTTGGCAATTTCTTGACACCATTTCTTGACAATAGGTTTGAGTGTTCATTTTTTATCCCCACATGCTAGCTGCCATGTTGAGCAAGGAAGTCGGTCTTGAAAAGGTGTTATTAATAGGCAAAGATTATCACAGGAATCTAGCATATCTAATACATTTCTGTGACACAAGCTAAGGGAAGTAATCGAGGGTTTGCCCAGAAAATAACATAAGTATTAGACACAGCTCTCCATTGCTACAGAGTAACCACTCTAACAGCAAAACATTTTACTTATAGATATGGTGTCATCAATTTAAAACAGCATAACATTTTACTTACAGACATGGTGTCATCAATCTCAGGAACAGAAAAAGGCTCTCCTTCAGTCTTGATACGAGAAATGCTGTTATTATCGTTGTGCTCCAGTAAATCCAGAGCTAAATGGAATTCACCGACTTCATAGTGGCAGAGAGCCATGAGATATCGACACGTGGGATTCTGAAAGACAGGAGAATGTTTTTTGTCCCTTAAAAGTACCCACATTAGAAAACTCTGCATCTGCATAAAATTGTTTGACATCCATTTGCTGATAATGTATCTGCATGCAGCACCTACAAGTAAAACATCTCTAAATGTTTAATATCTTAAGCTTACAAAAATTTCTACCAATAAACAAACATTAATGTAGCATACAAAACACTACTTAGGAACTGACAGAGACTCATCAAGTGTTTTTACTTAGCGTTCCTCAAGGCTTCACATCTGTGCCAGATGTTCATGTTACACTGGTACGGTATTTTGAGTGTCTGGCTACATTAGGGTTGTCTTACTTGGCTACTGATTATTCACAGCCCATGGGAACCACAAGCCTAGGGCCAGGCTTGGCTTGTGAGAGCCTGGTCCAACAGGCTATTCCTTGGAGCGATCGGAAGGCCCCCATATCAACTACAGCTCGGTTGGTTTGGCACTTCTTGCAGAAAACTGTCCAGTGTTTTCTTGAAGATTTCCACTTTTGTTCCAGCAACATTTCTTATACTTGCTGGGAGTATGTTCAACAACCATAAACCTCTGATTTTTATACAGTGTTCTCTGATTGTGCCTATGGCACCTCTACTCTTCACTGGCTCTATTCTGCATTTTCTTCCATATATCTCACTCCAGTATATTGTTATTTTATTGTGCAAATTTGGTACCTGGCCCTTTAGTATTTTCCATGTTTATATGATTTGGTACCTCTCTTATCTCCTTTCTAGAGAGTACATTTTGAGAGCTTTGAGACGATCCCAATAGTTTAAGTGCTTTATCGTGTCTATGCATGCCGTATATGTTCTCTGTACTCCCTGTTTCAGCAATCTCTCCAGCTCTGAAAAGGGAAGCAACTATGGAGCAGTACTCAAGACAGGACAACACAAGCAATTTGAACAATATGAGCATTGTGATGGGATCCCTGGATTTGAAGGTTCTTACAATCCATCCTATCATTTTTCTATCTGACACTATACTGTATTCGCTTGGTTATGCTCCCTACATGTTAGGTCGTCAGACATCATTATTCCCTGATCCTTTACATGTTGCTTTCCCACTGTGGGCAGATTTTATTGCGTTTTGTACCCTGTACTTTGTTTAATTTCTGCTACTTCGGTGATCTTAAGTAGATCACTGCCTCAGTAGTGCCTTTCTAACCTTGGTTTTGACTCTTGGCCTTGGAAAAGAGTCTTAATTATATGTATAGTACAGTACAGTACAGCACATATATACAGGAAACGTGTCATCTCCTCAGATGAAATTCTTAATGGCCCTTTTATTCTCGGATGTTTCATGAGAGAGTGTTTTTCAGCTGTGTCTTTGTTTTCATTTTGTTAAGGGTGGGGGCTATGCTTGCCTATTCCTGTCATGGTGTGCACAGGTTGAATTCGACGCATGCCAATTTCACTCTTCTTGCTCCTAGTTTAGGAGGTTCATTTTTTGTGGTTAGCAGGCATATTCTTGTGCCAATTTTCTACTGGGAAGGTCCTTATGGCATTCCCTGCTGGTGGTCCACCTGCCAGCACCTTCTAATTTAACTTGTTCCAAGCGTCTACCACTTTGTTTACAAAATAAAATTTCTAATATTTTTTCGTCACCTCTTGTTTTCTTAGCTTGAATCTGTGTCCTCTTGTTCGTGAATTTGCTAGTTTCAGGAAGTCTTCTTTGTGAATTTGGTCTATTTGTTACGGACCCGAGTCCAGCGTCATAGCACGGAGCAGTGACGACAACGCCATCTGTGAGTCCGCTCCCGAAACCCCCTCCAAATGGACGACGCCATCTAGTGAGGACGGGATATACCGGCCACAGGTGCTGATTCCCGTCTTGATCAGCTCATAACACAGCCGCTGCTGACCTCTGGTGAGGTGGCACTTAGACAGTGAACGCCATCTATGGAGTAAATAGGTGGACGTTTTTGTCTAAGCTTGTAAGTGATGTTTCTTAGGGACCCCATGTAGTGTCCCCAGCACTAATGATGTGTCTGATTACAGAGTCGACCTGGAACTGGACGATGGATCAGTCTACCCAAGAGTATGGGAGACCTTGGCTGCCAAGGTCTCTCCACGAGTTTGCTCTGAGGAAGCTGTGAGTCACCCCCGGACAAACACTGTTGAGAGTGTTAGCCTGCCTGTGGCGTGGCAGTACCAGGAATCGCCTTATCCAGGCTGGCTGGTGGAAGAGACTAGCCACTGTGGTACTGAGAGAGGAGAGTGATCAGCGGAATCACACGAGGCTCCTGCCTAGGGCTCGCAACCCTAGTATCGGTCGTGGAGTGGCCAACACAGCGGAGCTGATCGGAACCTGCCAGCTACAGGCTGGATTGTGGTTGAAGGCCTCCACGACGGAGCACCCAGTGGGACTGTGATTTGGCTGGCCTGTGGCCAGGGTAGATACGCCGAGAGAATCCAAGAGGATTCATCGTGGGCCGAAGAAGAGAACCAGGGCTACTCAAAGTGCGCACCGTGGAGCATCCTGAGTCTTCGGAGGAAGACAAGTCATTGTACATTTGTGTATTTATAAACCCCGTGTGACTGTTTATATATTTATTTATGGTGGTGGTGTAATAATATATATAAATCAGCACATTTGTATCCCTCCCCCTTTAAGTTAACTTGCGTTACGGAACTCATCCCTTGAAAGCCTCTACTGACTTGGGGCTGGATTCCCAAATTCTAATGACACCAGAAAAGAACCCGGTTACGCCCCAGTAGGGCCGTAACACTATTCCTGTTAGTATTTTGTAAGTGGTGATCATATCATCTCTCTTCTATCTTTTAGTTTTGGCATGTTTAACGCCTCTAGTTTCTCCTTGTAATTCTTGTTTTTCAGTTCTGGAAGCCATTTTGAAGCATGCTGCTGCATGTTTTCCAGTTTATTTACGTGCTTCTTGAGAGTTGGGCACCATACAACTGCTGCATATTCCAACTTTGGTCTCACAAAAGTCATGAACAATTTCTTTAGTGTTTCACCAGCAATATACAGTAATTAAAAGCAAGTCTGAAGTTGAAAAGTGATGCATACGCTCCTCTCACAATGTTCTTTGTGTTCCTCTGGCGACAGCTCACTATCCAAAACCACCCTGGGAGCCGGTCGGCCGAGCGGACAGCACGCTGGACTTGTGGTCCTGGGTTCGATCCCAGGCGCCGGCGAGAAACAATGGGCAGAGTTTCTTTCACCCTATGCCCCTGTTACCTAGCAGTAAAATAGGTACCTGGGTGTTAGTCAGCTGTCACGGGCTGCTTCCTGGGGGTGGAGGCCTGGTCGAGGACCGGGCCGCGGGGACACTAAAGCCCCGAAATCATCTCAAGATAACCTCAAGATAACCCCTAGGTCTCGTTCTTTATTAGTTCTGTAATTCCTTCCCACATAATTTGTAAGTTGTGTGTGTGGTCTATTTTCTCCTATTCCACATTCCATAACATGGCATTTATTCACGTTGAATACCATTTGCCACTTGACACTCCATGCACTTATTTTATCTAGATCAATTTGAAGGGCATTATAATCGTCTGCATCTCCTATCTTCCCCAGTATCTTAGCATCACCCGCAAACATGTTCAGATAATTCTGTATTCCTTCTGGTAGATCGTTTATGTAGACAATGAACATTACTGGTGCAAGAACTGAACCCTGTGGTACTCTGCTAGTAACACTCCTCCAGTCAGATACATTGTCTCAGATTACTGCCCTCATCTTTCTGTCAGTTAGAAAATGTTTCTTCCAGGTCACAACTCTCCCTGTCACCCCTCCAGCATGTTCCAGTTTCCAAAACAGCCTCTTGTGTGGGACTTTATCAAAAGCCTTTTTTAGGTCCAGATCGATAGTCAACCCAACCACCTCTTTCCTGTTTGTATGACATGTCGGACGTGGCCGAAGTGTCCCACTTGAGTCACCTTCCCATTCGGCTATTTGGCTGCTCCCCTGGAAACACAAACCGAAACTGTCTCTATTTTCCGCTTGTTACAACTTGTAATTAAGTTGTTACATCTTGGCTTAACGTGTTTATGACATATTAGAATGTTACAACTTGCTATATTGGTTGTTATAACTGGTTAGGTGTTAAAACTTGTTCGAACATTGTACCAACGTCCTAGTTTCAGTGTGTGTTTGGCGGGTCTAGTCTCGGCCAACTGTGGCCTACACCTGGTACACACACAACAGGTCCAGAACATGTCTACATGTAATAGTCAGTGTCTACCATACACATACTTACAATAGATATGGTAATGAGGGGGTCTGACAGCTGACAGCGCTTCAGTTTCATAGGCCTGAGGTTTTGGGTTCAATCCCGGAACTAAATCGAGCCCGTCTCGTTCCGGAAGTCCCGGAGCACCAGCACCAGTCCAGCAACACACCCTAAAGTCCCGGAACAATCCCGGAACTAAATCGTGCCCGGTGGAGACGGAAACAAAAATGGGCAGTTTCTTTCACCCTGATGTCCCTGTTACCTAGTAGTAAATAGGTACCTGGGAGTTAGACAGCTGCTATGGGCTGCTTCCTTGGGGTGTGTAACAAAAAGGAGGCCTGGTCGAGGACCGGGCCGCGGGGACGCTAAGCCCTGAAATCATCTCAAAATAACCTCAAGATAAGTAAACTGTTTTATTAAAACATTTATTAACAAGATTAATTACTCTCAAATGAGTATGTGGAGACATACACAAATTAAAATGAAACATCAACTAATGTGGACTTGTGATCCTGTGGTCCCGGGTTCGATCCCGGGCGCCAGCGAGAAACGATGGGCAGAGTTTCTTTCACCCTATGCCCCTGTTACCTAGCAGTAAATAGGTACCTGGGAGTTAGTCAGCTGTCACGGGCTGCTTCCTGGGGGTGGAGGCCTGGTCAAGGACCGGGCCGCGGGGACACTAAAAAAAAAAAGCCCCGAAATCAACTCAAGATAACTCAAGATAATGAGAGCTATCTTATGTTTACAAATCTTTATTTTGGAATGATAGTAAAAATATCAGCTCATCCTCCTATATAGGTAGTACAGTCCTTATAGCAGCGATGAAGACCATTGTACACATATTGACGTAAAAGGCAACTAGAAAGTAGAACTTGGTACAACTGAATTTGGACAAACTGGAAAAGTTGCATTGATATTGCAAAAAAAAAAAAAAAATAACTTTCCTAGGCCAAATACACATTATCCGAGGCCTAATAAAGAACATATATGTGCTATACTAAGCCTAGAAATATTTAATTTTGGCTTTTAGCTTAATTTTTTTCAGACTCAAAGTCAATAGTATTACCAAATTCTAGTATCTAATTGTCCATTACATCTATGTACAATGGCTCCATAGTTACAAACAGTACGATCTAAACCGGAGGATGGGTTGAAGATATACAACAAAAATCTTGGGAGCAGGACTGATACTAATGCCAAATACAGTACTTACCTTGCTCAGTTTATGTCCATTTAAAAGAAGAATAGCGCGATGATACTGCTTTGTTAAGAAGTAGCTCTGAGCCAGCCAGTAGACATCAGCAGGAGAACCATTACTGAGGCTGACCACCTTGTCAGCCCAGAATATAGCAGCCTTGTAGTGGTGCTGCAATATGAAGCATGGGGTCAGGTGCCACACAGATACTCCTACACCTTCTCCACATTCTCCATTATTACTGCTACAGTATTATCAACCCCTGCAGGTTGGCAACACACACACACACAACACTGCAGGTTGACAACACACACACACACAACACTGCAGGTTGACAACACACACACACACAACACTGCAGGTTGACAACACACACACACACAACACTGCAGGTTGACAACACACACACACAACACTGCAGGTTGGCAACACACACACACACAACACTGCAGGTTGACAACACACACACACACACACACACACACAACACTGCAGGTTGACAACACACACACACAACACTGCAGGTTGACAAGACACACACACACAACACTGCAGGTTGACAAGACACACACACACAACACTGCAGGTTGACAACACACACACACAACACTGCAGGTTGACAACACACACACACAACACTGCAGGTTGACAAGACACACACACACAACACTGCAGGTTGACAACACACACACACAACACTGCTGGTTGACAAGACACACACACACAACACTGCAGGTTGACAAGACACACACACACAACACTGCAGGTTGACAAGACACACACACAACACTGCAGGTTGACAACACACACACACACAACACTGCAGGTTGACAAGACACACACACAACACTGCAGGTTGACAAGACACACACACACAACACTGCAGGTTGACAAGACACACACACACACAACACTGCAGGTTGACAAGACACACACACAACACTGCAGGTTGACAAGACACACACACACACACAACACTGCAGGTTGACAAGACACACACACACAACACTGCAGGTTGACAACACACATACACACAACACTGCAGGTTGGCAACACACACACACAACACTGCAGGTTGGCAACACACACAACACTGCAGGTTGACAAGACACACACACACAACACTGCAGGTTGACAAGACACACACACACAACACTGCAGGTTGACAAGACACACACACACAACACTGCAGGTTGACAACACACACACACAACACTGCAGGTTGACAAGACACACACACAACACTGCAGGTTGACAAGACACACACACAACACTGCAGGTTGACAAGACACACACACACAACACTACAGGTTGACAAGACACACACACACACACAACACTGCAGGTTGACAAGACACACACACACAACACTGCAGGTTGACAACACACACACACAACACTGCAGGTTGACAAGACACACACACACAACACTGCAGGTTGACAAGACACACACACACAACACTGCAGGTTGACAAGACACACACACACAACACTGCAGGTTGACAAGACACACACACACACAACACTGCAGGTTGACAAGACACACACACACAACACTGCAGGTTGACAAGACACACACACAACACTGCAGGTTGACAACACACACACACACAACACTGCAGGTTGACAAGACACACACACACAACACTGCAGGTTGACAAGACACACACACACAACACTGCAGGTTGACAAGACACACACACACAACACTGCAGGTTGACAACACACACACAACACTGCAGGTTGACAAGACACACACACACAACACTGCAGGTTGACAAGACACACACACAACACTGCAGGTTGACAACACACACACAACACTGCAGGTTGACAACACACACACACAACACTGCAGGTTGACAAGACACACACACAACACTGCAGGTTGACAAGACACACACACAACACTGCAGGTTGACAACACACACAACACTGCAGGTTGACAACACACACACACAACACTGCAGGTTGACAAGACACACACACACAACACTGCAGGTTGACAAGACACACACACAACACTGCAGGTTGACAACACACACACAACACTGCAGGTTGACAACACACACACAACACTGCAGGTTGACAAGACACACACACAACACTGCAGGTTGACAACACACACACAACACTGCTGGTTGACAAGACACACACACACAACACTGCAGGTTGGCAACACACACACACACTGCAGGTTGACAAGACACACACACACAACACTGCAGGTTGACAACACACACACAACACTGCAGGTTGACAACACACACACACAACACTGCAGGTTGACAAGACACACACACACAACACTGCAGGTTGACAAGACACACACAACACTGCAGGTTGACAAGACACACACACACAACACTGCAGGTTGACAACACACACACACAACACTGCAGGTTGACAACACACACACACAACACTGCAGGTTGACAAGACACACACACACAACACTGCAGGTTGACAAGACACACACACACAACACTGCAGGTTGACAAGACACACACACAACACTGCAGGTTGATAAGACACACACACACGACACTGCAGGTTGACAACACACACACACAACACTGCAGGTTGACAACACACACACAACACTGCAGGTTGACAACACACACACAACACTGCAGGTTGACAACACACACACACAACACTGCAGGTTGACCCCCAGGCACTGCAGGTTGACAACACACACTGGTATACCCTTATTGCCTTACAGGTTGACCCTTAAACCCCTGCAGGTTGGCCCCCAGGCACTGCAGGTTGACAACACACACTGGTATACCCTTATTGCCTTACAGGTTGACCCTTAAACCCCTGCAGGTTGGCCCCCAGGCACTGCAGGTTGACAACACACACTGGTATACCCTTATTGCCTTACAGGTTGACCCTTAAACCCCTGCAGGTTGACCCCCAGGCACTGCAGGTTGACTGACCCTCTCTATGTAGCTGCGGACGACCTTCCTGAACCTGTGCAGGTCGAGAGCGTCGGGAGAGGCGGCCATCGACTCGAACTCCTCCGCCATCATCGCCATATTGTTTACGTCGCTTGGCTCAAATGTTTTCCTTGAACCTAAAACTTTGTAATGAATTTTAAAACTTCAGAATAATATTTTTTATTTTATTGAGTAAAGCTAATAAATTCTGACCAGAATTTTTAAAACTTTAATTTGTTGATTAGTATTTAGTTGTTTAAATATTTATTGTAATGTTAAACGTTGCACACTGTAACCCCTATATTTATTTATTTATTTATTTATTTACTTAAATATTTATTTAAATATTTATGTATTGATTTATATATTTATTTATTTATTTATACGTAAGAAGGTACTTTGGGGGTTAAGAGAGTACATTCAAAATTAAAAAAAAAATTAAAATTCAAATGTTTATTCAGGTAAAATACGTACATACAAGAGGTGATGCAAATATTGATGAATTTATAGATAGAGCTAGTACATGCAATGCCTAAAGCCACTATTACGCAAAGCGTTTCGGGCAGGAAAAACACTAAAGACTAAAACTTAATACTAATTGAGATTAAAGTATAAAATGTGTTGAGAAAATAAAAAAATAAAAAAAGGGGGAACATGGCAGAAAAACAGCAAAAATACAATTTGGTCGACAAACAGCATTGTTTAAAAATAACAGACATGGGTTGACATTATAGGGGTACGGTAGGTTACAGGGAGTTAATTAGGTAGTGCTTAGTTTTTATCTTAAACTTTATCTTTATACACTAAATAATGTTGTTAATAATGAACTAAAAAAAAGTCCACTTATGGATGTCAACCAACAAACTAACACTTAACATAGAAAAGACCTACTACATCTTTGTAACCTTTCATCTACATCTACATCTCTGCAACCTTTGATCTTATTTGAAAGCAAATCTACAAATGCAATTCAGCTTCAGATAGACAATGTAAACATTAGCAATAAAAATGATGGAAAGTTTCTTGGCCTATTCCTAGACAAGAGCACCCACATACAACACATAACTAAGAAAGTCTCTAAAACAGTTGGGATACTCTCCAAAATCAGATATTATGTACCTAACTCTGCTCTCATCTCTCTATATTATGCACTAATATCTCTCCCTATCTTAATTACGGTATCTGTGCATGGGGTTCAACCACTGCAAACCACCTCAAGTTCATCATCACCCAGCAAAAATCTGCTATCAGAATAATAACAAATTCTGCTTTCAGACAACACTCAGCCGCCTTGTTCAACTCCCTAAACATGCTAAACATAATCTCACTCCCCAAATTCTCTTGTGTCAACTACATTTACAAAACCCTGTTCTTAAATGCAAATCCTGCTCTGAAACTCTCCCTGGACAGATGTAATAGGTCCCATTATCACCACACCAGAAATAAATATCTCTTTGATATCCCCAAAGTCAAACTTAATCTGTGTAAACACTCTATGCAAATAAAGGGACCCAGTCTATGGAACTCACTCCCTATTGAATTGAAAAGATGTCCAACTTTTGCGTCATTCAAAAACAATACTAAAAAGTACCTAATTTCATCTTCATAGTTTTTTACCTTTTGCTTTAAAATTGCACTGTATCTATTGCTACCCAATCTTTATGCACCCAATTCGAACATCTTTACCATTGTGATCATTGCTGTCTTCTTATATGTGCTGTCAATCTGCTGTATGGTGTCTATTAATCTTGTTTAAATTACCAATCAAGTTGTCAATGTAATCAATCAGAGCTTTAATATACCAATGTGCTTTACTATACTTACTAATCTCTCTCATCTCATTTTTTCTTGCAATGTATTTGTTATCATTTTATTAATTCTGCTAGAATTTACCTACTTAAAATTATCAGTTAGATTAAGGACCTGCCCGAAACGCTGCGCGTACTAGTGGCTTTACAAGAGTGTAAATACTTTGCTATGTATTCTCACAAACCTAATGTACCTTCTTGTATATAAATAAATAAATAAATATATAAATTAATAAATAAATAAACTGGTTGGGAGAGGTATAGTCTTTAACATGATTGGGAAGGTCATTCCACATTCTGGGTCCCTTGATTTGTAGAGCATTTCTAGTTTGATTAAGTCGTACTCTTGGAATATAAAAAATGTATTTGTTTCTGGTGTGGTGCTCATGGGTTCTGTTACAACCTTCAATGAAGCTTTTGAGGTCAGGATTGGCATTACAGTTAAGCGTTTTATATATGTATAATACACATGAGAGGATGTGCAGTGACTTAATATCTAACATATTCAGAGATTTGAGTAGGGGTACCGAGTGATGTCTGGGGCTAGAGTTATATATTGTCCTAATAGCAGCTTTGTGTTGCGTAATTAGAGGACGTAAATGATTTGGGTAGTAGAACCCCAAGCACAAATACCATAGTTGAGGTATGGATAGATGAGGGAGTAATAGAGAGTAACCAGGGCAGGGCGGGGTACATAATATCTGATCTTAGAAAGAATACCAACAGTTTTTGAAACTTTTTTTGATATATTTAGAAGGTATCCCTGGAAATTCAGCTTGTGGTCAACGAGAACGCCAAGGAATTTGCCATCTGTTTTGTTACAAATATGGGTATTGTTTATCATGAGATATAGTTGATTTGAGGATTTATTGCCAAACAAAATATAGAAAGTTTTGTCAATGTTGAGGGTGAGTTTGTTGTTAGTTAGCCAAAGATGGACTTTATTTAGCTCAGTATTCACTGTGACATTTAGAGCAAGGGGGTCAGGACTGGAGTAAATGAAGGTTGTGTCGTCAGCAAATAGTATTGGTTTGAGGTGTTGGGAGGCATTTGGAAGGTCATTAATGTAGATGAGAAAGAGGAGAGGGTCAAGTATGCTGCCCTGAGGAACACCAACGTTGATGGGTAGGGTGGGAGAAATTGAATTATTCACAGAAACATACTGGAGCCTGTCAGTAAGGTAAGATTTGAGGTATTGCAGGGAGTGACCTCTGACTCCATAAAGATGTAATTTAAGAAGAAGGTTTTGGTGGTTGACAGTGTCTACAGCCTTACGCAGGTCCACAAATAACCTAACAGGGAACTCATTTTTATCAAGAGCTGCATGAATCAAGTTAATCATACTAATAAGTGCATCGTTAGTGCTTTTTGGGGTCTGAAGCCATATTGACAAGAGCTAAGTATATTGTGTTTGGCTAGATAAGAGTAAAGCTGCTTGTAGATTAGTTTTCAAATATTTTTGACAAGTTAGGCAGGATTAATATAGGTCTGTAGTTGGTAACATCTGTGAGATCACCACATTTGTGGACAGGGGTTACTCTCGCTTTTTTTAGAATATCTGGAAAGGTTTGGAGTTCAAGTGATTTGTTGAAGAGCAATGCAATAGCAGGAGCTAAAGATCTGGAGGTTTTTTTGTAAATTAAAGTTGGTATCTCCTCAAGGGCACTAGACTTGGTTTTAAGGGAAAGGATTATGGCCTCTGATTTGAAATACAAACCGGAGATGTTTCTGAAGAGGGGGGACAAAGAAGCGCGGGAAGTCTGGGGCTATATAAATTCTGGGGCAGAGAGGGGCTCTCTCTCACTCCACCCGACCGTCGCAGCACTCGAAACTGCGCTGCGCCTCAACGATACGTGGACCAGTACTCAGTCCTGCATTCATCAGTCTGTCGATACGGCAGGGGCCCCCTGTCCTACTCATCCTACTCTAAGGTAATGTAAAAATTTTCTGTTAAAGTTTAGTCAGGACTGTCCAGTGTCTGGCGTGTGTTGGCGCCTTTCCCCCACGGTCCGTGTGGGCCGCCTTTGTTCCCTAGTGCCTTCTGCACGTTTGCTTGTCTTGAGGTATGCAGGCGCGCCTTTCAGCCTGTGCCAGGTGCTGCAGCGGCTGCTTTTTGCTGCTGCCGCAATGCCCCGGGTCGGCGTGTGTTTACGCCGTGTCCCGAGTGGACTGCCCTGGTAGTGTTATCTCCCAGGCATGCACTAAGGGCACTGGTCAGCTGTGTTCCCTAGGTGTGCGCCTAGGGGCCCCGGTTCGTGCCCCGCTCGGACGTGCGTGCCTGGCCGGGCCCCCTGCGAGCGGCCCGGTGTCGCCCTTGGAGGCGTCCCCACGTGGGCAGGTTGCTGTGGTCCTATGCCTGTCCTATGGCCCAAGGGCCATGGTTCATGCCGCGCCCGGACGTGCGTGCACGGCGGGCTCCCTGTAAGCGGCCTGGCGGCCTCCAAAGGATACGTGATCAACCAGGCTGTGACTCATACGTCAGGCTCCGAGCAGCCGCGTCCAACAGCCTGGTTGATCAGTCCGGCTACCAGGAGGCTTGGTCGACGACCGGGCCGCGGGGACGCTAAGCCCCGGAAGAACCTCAAGGTAGGCCCTTGGCGGGGGCGCCACGAGGCCAGGTTGCAGTGGTCCTATGCTCCTTGGGCCCGACCATTGGGGCCCATGCCCGGTCGGTGTCGCCCTCGTGGCATGGCGCTCAGAGGAGCGCTTGCCCTGGGTTGTCTCGCTTCCTTCCTGTTCCTCTTGGGTGCTAAGCTACGCGGATTAGCGGCGTGGCCTTTCCCGGGGCGGGGGTCTGTCTGCATTCATGTCGTACCCGGGCATGCCCACTTGTGGGGGGCCTGCCTCACGCCCACGGGCTGGAGACGCCCACGCTTGGTGGCGGTGTCCCGGTCGGCAGGCAATGAGGCTTCTTTGCCTAGGGGCTGCCTCGACGTCAGGTTGGGCTTAGCCGCATGCCTCCCCGTCCCCTGCTGTTTTGGCCCAGGCTGTCTACCGTTCTATGGTCCGTTCTGTTCTATGGTCCCCTGTTCTGTTTGGGGGTGTCTTGGTGAGCCAAGGCGCGCTCAGGCGTGTTTTGCGTTCATCAGGTATGTTTGTATGGTAGGTATGGTAACATACCTGCAGGTTTGTTGTCTCCAGACGTCTCGTCTGGCCGGTGTAGCCCGGCACGTTCGTACCCAGATGTTTTCGCCTGGCCGGTTTACCCGGCACGTTTGTACCCAGACGTTGTCGTCTGGCCGGTGTAGCCCGGTACATTTGTTCCCAGACATTTCGTCTGGTCGGTGTAGCCCGGCACGTTCGTACCCA